AGGGGGAATGGCCATGCCGCAATCCCTTCTCCTCTATTCTCCTCCCAGGATCTTGGGCACGCACGCACACCCGGCATGTGTTTAAGCCACCAGGTCCAGGGCTAGAACCACGGTCGACTACATGCAAGTCCAGTGACATAGCCATTGTGCCAACTGCTGGTCCCGATAGATATTCTTTATATATTTTTTATTATTTTTCATTGCTAGAGGGTACACACATTGACAATTGGGGGCGGGAGTGAGGGGAGGAAGGAGGACAAAGCCTCTCTCACAGTGGGATGTGAGGAGGCTGTTAATCCCTTCTCAGTTTTTCCATCCTGTCGTTTCTGGGTATGCATATACATGCACCCAGTATGTTTTTCTAGCACCTGGGGACAAGATTTGAACCTTAAAGACGGCTATGTGGGATTCAGCACCTTAACCACCAGATCACCTGTTGTGTCAGGTAAGAAAGGGAAAGTGTTTTATAGGAGCAATTCAAGACGAATAATTCTAGGGTTATAATTGAATATAGTTTCTCATAGGAACCAATAGCATAACTATGGCTGGCATAATAATGACAATATAGTTGATGTAGACCTTTTATTTATTTATTTATTTATTTAAATTTGCTGTAGGGCACATGCACTCACCAGAGAGAGAGAGAGAGAGAGAGAACTGCCAGGTCCAAGACTCGCTGTGATCAGCCACGTGGAGGTCCAGCACCCTCACTATCACACCTGCTGCCGCTGATTTAATGACATTTTTAAGCCCACCACAAGGAATATGAAGGTGAGAATTCTATTCTGGCCTGTGTTGATTTCTCTCTTTCTCTCTCTCTCCAAGTGCATGCATCCTGTAGCAAAAAAAAAAAAAAAAAATTAATTAAAAATTTTAAAAAATCAGATCATATCTGAAGTATTTAGTTTGAGCCATATGTATTCAAACGAATGTTGAAAAACTTAGATAGGTTCTTAGATAAGAACTTGAAAGAAACAATGTAGAGAACACATTTTACTAGATTTCAGAGCTTTAAAATTAAATGATTCTGTAGGTGGACAGTTCTCCAAGAAAAGAGACTCAGTTCTCCAAGAAAAGAGACTCCTAACAGAAACCTGTCAGGGAACTGTGATATTCACTTAGTTGATGGCATGCTTGTTCTTTCCTGGTACTTTAGTAAACCTGTAACACTCTCCTTAAAATCCTGAAGAGGAAAGGGGGAGGTCCAAAGCAGTTATTCAAAATAATAGGTAGACTTCTGTATTGTCTGCAGTATTGCTGAATCATCCTTAGCAAAACTGATTTATGCTTGTTCCTTTTCCTACACCTAACCAGTTATGCATTTTGTTTTTTGTTTCTATTTCTTGGCATCTTTCATTGTAACTATTGAGTGCAACTGTTTTCTTGTCAGCTATGTACTTATATAAGGTAGTAATTACTCTGAAACAGTATATTATGTATAGAATGGGATGTGATACTTGCCAATTTTTCTAGCTAAAAGAATAGAGTCCCTTTTCCTTCTAGTCTCCCACTGTATAGACCTGGATTTATATTTTTTGTTGCTTTTATTATAGAAAGAATTATTATATGAGGTAAAATTAGGAAAGCACCTCGTAAATGATGAAGACTTATATGAGTACAGGATGCAATTATTTCAAGTTGCAGCTGTATGCAACTTTGGCCTATAATAGACTTTTGCTATCAATTTCTCATGTTATGTCACTAGCAATCATATTTATATCTTCTTTATACATTCCTAGTCAGAATTTTCTCTCCTCAACCCTCCAGTTACATTTTTATCTATCCTTGCTGTGGTTCTTTGTGTAAATTTTGTTGAGGGGATTGACACCATTCAGAATACCTTTATCTGGGGCCAGCAGGTGGTGTGGTGAAGGCTCTGGACTCATATGACTGACTTCAGTTCAATTCCCAGACCTGGCAGCTTGCTTTCTCACCTTTCCTGTTTCTCTCCAGTGAGCACACGTGCCTTACAGCAAATTAAAAATAATAATAAATAGGGACCAGCAGTTAGCATAATGACTATGTCGATGAACTCCCATGTAGCTGACTGCAGTTCAAGTCCTGGACCTAGTGGCTTAAACTCACGCCGGGCATGTGTGTTCATGCCCAAGATCCTGAGAGGAGAATGGAGGAGAAGGGATTGCGGAGTGGCCATCCCCCTTGGAGGGTGATGGGTGATTTCTCACTTTCTATCTCTGTCTTTCTTTCTGGTGAGCGCACGCATCCCATAGCAAAAAAAAAAAAAAGAAAAATGTGTGTGTGTGTATATATATACATATATATATATATATATATATATGTATATATATGTATATATATGTATATATATGTATATATATGTATATGCATATATATAAAATAATCCTTTAAAAGAACAAAAAAAGAATATCTTTGTTGCCCATTCATGGTGGCATAGACAAGAGGGCACAGCTGCTCATTCGCTGAGGCCACATAGGAGGTCCAATTTGGTTCTCAGGCTGACCTAAGTAGACTGGGTCAGTGACATGCACCTATGGTCCCAGCTAACTGGCAGGCTTGGGCAGGAGGATGATGGCAGTGTGGAAAAACCCTTTCACAAATACTTCTCTCTCTCTTCCCCCTTCCCTTTCTTTCTTCTCCCTTTCTTATGAAGAATAAAAGCCTGTATCTTCCCTTCCTTTTCACCGCATGCCTCTATTTTTATTCAAAAAAATCAAGTGTTTTTTTGAATCTCAGTTGAAGGAACCTCTTTCAAGACAAATACCTGAACTAGCTCCCAGGTTTCTCTGACAACATGGCTTATCTCAACCACAAATTCATTGTTGTTTAGCCCCTCTTAATTTCCAGTAGAGACAGAGCCCCACATCTGAAAAACTTTTGATTGGGGCCCATTTATACTACCTCTTTTTACCTTGCTATGTCACTGCAGAGCTTTTTAAGCAGACGACAGCGGTAACGGACATCAGATTTTCTTTCAGTAGATGAGTAACTGAAATAGTAGAGAAGCACTGGCCTAACCTCATGACAGTAAGGTAGTTCTAGATTGTGATAAATGTTGGAAAGGAAGTGGATGGTGTGATGTGTGAAAGTAATTGAAGGAGAAGTGGTAACTTGGATAGTAAGTAATTTGAAAAAAAAAAAAATTGTCAGGCTGGCCCTGTTTGCCTTGTGCTTAAGGCAGTTGGATCCCACACAGTTAACCATGCAGTTCAAATCCTGACCCCAGCAGCTTGAGAACCACACCAGGTACTTGTGTGCACCTGCCCCAAATAACAACAGGATGGAGAAAGGGAAGGGTGAGACTCCTCAATGGGGCACTGTGACTATGCCCCATTGAGGAGTCTCATTTTCTCTATCCCTCTTTTTTTTGATGAGTGCATGTACCCTCTGGCACAATTTTAAATTATGTAAAAAATAAATATTTTGCTTAAGAAAGTAATTTTAGGGGCAAAAGGTGGTGTGGTGTGGTGGTTAAGGCACTGGACTCCCACGTGGCCAACCATGGTTCAAGTCCTGGACCTGGCAGCTTGCTTTCTCACTGCCCCCCCCCAACCTGCCCCTGTCTCTCTAGTGAGTGCACATGTCCTATAGCAAATTAAAAAATGATAATAAAATTAAATAATTCTTTTATAAAAAAAGATAGTTTTAAAATCTTGATACCTAGGAAAATGAGGAAATGTAAATGAAGGTGAAGCATGAATCCCAATTATTTGCAGATCTTCATTTTTAACAGCGTTCATCACATGATTTTGATTATACCCTATGGATTTTAAATTCTCATTTTCAGGCAAAACTTACTTACTAATGGTCATTGTCAGGTTTCAGAAGTCTTATATATCTGTTCTCTCTAGTATCAAATGAAGAAAAATAACCTTGACTAGGACATTATATGCATCTCTTTGTAGTTGATTCAACAAACATACATTAAATAGTTACCACACAGGCCAGCCTCTCTACTAGGCACTGAAGATAAATAGAAATAAACTAGACACAGCCCTTTCCCTTAATGAACCTAACAAAAACAGTTTCTAGGGGTAATGTAGATCATTTAAACTTACCAGTCACTTGAAAATAGATCTACTGTGGTCATTATAAAGGAAGTTTGCTCCTAACTAATTTTAAGAAGGTATTTTAACGTTATACAATACTACCTTTAAAAATAGTTCTGATTTATAGGGACTAGCGGATGGCATAATGGTTATGTTGCTAGACTCCCATGTAGCCAACCACAGTTTGAGTCCTGGACCCAGGAGCTTAAAACTCACTCTGGGCGCATGTGCTTGCGTGCCCAACATCCCGAGAGAAGAATGGAGGAGAAGAGATTGCGATGTGGCCATCCTCCCAGGGGTTGATTTCTCACTTTCTGTCTCTCTGCCTCTCTCTTTCTCCACACGTGCCCTATTGCAAAAACCTCTCTTACAAAAAAAAGTTCTGATTTATTAATCAAACTTTAATATTATAGTAAAGTTTACATTCTAAATAGAAAACAAACACAGGCACCTGAAAACAAAATAATGAACACACATATATGAATCAAACTATTGTTACAATAATTACTAAATAAGTTGAATGGTGAAAGATTATTTGCAATTGGGCTAGTCTTGGGAAAGCTTCACACAGATAGAAGTTGTGTTTACTCTTAAATGGTAAAAAAATAGACTGAAAGCTAATTTGGAGGTTTGGATGTAGCAGGGGAACATTGAAAACAGAGATAGGGGTTAAGTATCAATGTATGTTTAAAGGACATGGATAGATAGGCTTGACTGAGGGGAAAGATTTGTATTGTTATATAGTAAGAGATAAAGTCTTTTAGTAGAAAAGATTTGGGCTATACTGTAAAAGCTACAAGTTCTTATAATCCTAAATTCATTTATAGTCTGCATAAAGGGCTTATCACAATATATGGTTTTCAATTGTATCATGACCCTAACTAAGTTTTTACTCCCCTAAATGTGTTCTGTAGATTTTGAGGTCAGAGTTCTTTAGCCCTCTTCAGGCTAAAATGATGTTTTGTTTTTCAGTTATTTACACGCCAAGTCAATCATCCACAGAGACCTCAAGAGTAATAGTATCCTTCCTGAAATTTGTCTGCAAAGTTTGAGAACATCCTGATTTTTTCTTCTGTGTTTTGTCTCTTCTCATTATGTTAAAACAGTTTTCATGCTAAGTTTAATATATTGTAAAAAGAATTAATAAATGAGTTTGCATGAGAATATAGTACAGCAGGAGACTACAGCCTGCTTTTGGTTTCTGAATGACTGGACATTACAAGAAAATTTATCAAAAAGCTTTATAGTAATAGTAGATATATTTTTTGATTGCTCGCCTTGCATTATATCAGCACTATAAGACATAGTTATATAATTGTCTGTTAATTTATTTCAACTGTTTGACCTAGCTCAGTGGTAGTTGAGATATAAGTGAAGGCTCTAAATTACATAATGAAGTTAGAAAACATAATTCTTTTTCTTCTTCTCTAAGCCCAGACTAAGAGATGTCTGCCAGCATCTTCCTTCCAGTGAGAAGCCTTTCCAGCTTGCCCAGCAGTGCCAAGAGGATGCCTAGGCCTACATTACCAAAGCTTAATGGAAAAGTTTCAGCATCTCCCATAAACTTAGGAAAGCATCTTACCTCCTAGCACATTTCAAACCCTAGAAATCTTAAAAGCAGGTTATATAGGTAAAATAGAGCAAAGTATTGTTTAAAACATATTTATTGGGAAAGTATGAAGTACTGTACTCTTTTAAGGATCGTAATATTACAGAATCATAGAAATTAGATCTTACACATAAATTATTCATGTTTGCTCTGATAGTGGAATGAGATGATTTGTTTTCCTTTACCTTAACTACACCTCAGATATATTTCTTCATGAAGACCTCACAGTAAAAATAGGTGACTTTGGTTTAGCCACAGTGAAATCTCGATGGAGTGGGTCCCATCAGTTTGAACAGTTGTCTGGTTCCATTTTGTGGATGGTAAGAATTGAGGCCATTTCTCCATTCATTATGTTTTTGGATCCTGGGATGCTGCCGAGTTACAAGAAAGTCAATGAAGTTTTCAGTATACTATTTTCTTAGTTTCCAGTTTTAACAAAAAGCATTGTTCTTATGTTTTATATAAATAGATTGTAACTTTCTTCTTTAAGGATATTATAAAACCAGTTTCAATATTTCATACAAAAATATGTATTTTATATACAGTATTTAAATTTTATTCAGAATTGGCTATGTAAATTTTTTTGTGTTCAGAATGTTCTAGGTACCCTATTAAAAAAAAAAAAAAGCAGGTATGCAATTTAAGGCAGGTGTAATCTGCAGCCATTATTACGGTTTTGCTAGGAAAGCTACTCCTTTTGACAGAGGGCATTTTACAATTTTATTTAAGCCTAAATTGGAAAGTTAGTTCCTTCTGTCTAGAAAGAACATTGTAATTATGGGGCAATTAGAAGAGGAAAGACAAAAAAAAAAAATGAGAGAGAGATTTTTTTTTTTTTGGAGAGGTTTTTGCTATAGGGTGCGTGCACTCGCCAGAAACAGAAAGAGACAGAGACAGAAAGCAAGAAATCACCCCCCAGTGGGGATAGCCATGCCGCAATCCCTTCTCCATTCTCCTCTCAGGATCTTGGGCACACATGCACACGCGCCTGGCATGAGTTTAAGCGACCAGATCCGGGACTCAAACCACGGTCGACTACATGGGAGTCCAGCGACATAGCCATTACAGTAACTGCTGGTCCCATGAGAGACTATGTTGTAATCCAACTATGTTGGATTACATAGTTCTTTTCCTTTCTTCCTACTTCTGCTCTGTCAGAAAGAAGAAAGAGAAGCTTATAGAAGGGGACTAAAACTCCTATGTAGTTACTACAGCAGGCTGTGAAAAGGTTGGTCAGAGAAAATATTCTATAAGCCAATGGTTCTAAAGAGTCCCTAGGAACTTTTTGGAAGGTTCATAAGGTTTGTCTTTTTGAGGCCAGATTTGCTTCATATCCTTCAACCAAAACAATACACTGCAACAGACTGAATGTGAAGCAAGTATAACAATCCAACTGGCTGGTATTAAGGCAGACATTAAAGAAAATCACAGTAGTATTAGTACCACTAAACTTTTGTTGTTGTTTTTAAAAATGTGGTTATTTTGCATTAAAAATTGATGATATATATTAACATTTAATGGTTGTTATTGTATTTAAGTGAGTTAATATTTTAACAGTTTCTCAGTTAACTTTTATAATAATATGATAAATAATCCACAGATGTAACCCACATCAACAACTTCTTTAGAGTCCTCACTTATCTTAAGAGTGAAAAAAAGAGTCTGAGACCAAAAAGTTAGAAAACAGGTATCCCAAAGTCTTAGTGCAGTTTTAAGCTTTAAATAATCTTCAGTAAGACATTTGGGACACCGTGCTGGGAACAGAAGAGTTGGAATGGCTTCCAAAGCCACGTTTGCCTGAATTCTCTGGACTATGTGTAGTAGTCTCCAAGAAGGAAAATTCAATGTACAATTTATTCTGAGTTTGTCAATGTAAACCTAGGGTTAAATTAAGCTATGTTTTTTGTTTGTTTGTTTTTTAATGACTACAAATAGAACTAGGACAATTGGCAAGGTAGGGAGGGGACATTGTGTTTAGTTTGGAGATCTGTATTCTAGTACTCTGTTTAGCCATAAACTCCTCTAACTCTTCCCATCTGAAATATGGGTTGAACTGGTGGATTTCCAGTGTCCTTTCTATTTTTAAGATTCGGTCATTGGTATTATCTAGGTTGTATGTGTTCCTTAATGTATGTTTAACTTTTAATAAATTATAAATGAAAGACTAATCATTGTAATCTGGATCTCTGGCACCTTTAAGGCACACATCTTGTAACAAAGATGACAGTGTATCCTAAGATGAAAAACAGATTTTTAGTGTTAATATTATAAAATTAATTTTTTTAATCGTCATTTTCTCTTTTTTGGAGAGGTTTTTGCTATAGAGCATGTGCGATTGCCAGACAGACAGAAACAGAGAGACAGAAAGCGAGAAATCACCCTCCCAGGGGGAATGGCCACACCGCAATCCCTTCTCCTCCATTCTCCTCTCAGGATCTTGAGCACGCATGCACACGTACCCGGCATGAGTTTAAGCCACCAGGTCCGGGACTCGAACCTCGGTTGACTACATGGGAGTCCAGCGGCATAGCCATTACGTCAACTGCTGGTTCCCTTGATCGTTATTTTAAAGGTGTGTTTAACTAGTGCTAGAAAATTAGGTTCAATCATATCTCTAGATTTATCCTACTCTTTAAAAGCCCCTAGTTTACATATTTACATTATTATACATGAATTTTATATTTTCTTCTAATTACTTTTTTCTTGATACCTTGGTAGATTGGATTCATCTTTAACTCTACCATGCTGAGTTTTGAGACAAAAGACTAACCACTAGTACACTTCTTTGTTAAATATATCCTTCTAGATTGTTGGCATTCAAAAACAAAAATGGAACATCTGTAGACTAGGAGAGAGAGAAAAATATGGTCAAAAATAAGGTTTTGTGGTCCTCTGAATTATTTATAATGGTCTTTCCAACTTTGTTTTATTTGTATCTTAGAGAGAAAAGAGACTGTTGTGAAATTTCTACAAGTAACATCAATAAGCTGAGGATTGGTTATGCATTTGTTGTAAATAGGTGGCATGCAACTTTTTATCAAGCCATTTGCCCACAACAGTGAGATAAAACTAAATTTTTGACCCAGCTGTGGTGACGTGCACTGGTGAGATACAGGCTAAGGCCAGACGAGAGTCCTGGATTTGATTCCTGACCCATCCTGAGAAGCCAGGGCAGTACCATGTGCCTATCATCCCAACTACTTGAGAGGCTGAGGCAGAAGGATCATGACAAAATGAGGCCCTGTCTTTAAAACAAAACTAAAACTAAATTTTAAAAAGGCGTATCTTCAACTGTCTCACAAATACTGGTTCAGGCTTTGAAAATTGTGTTTATCATAACTAGCCTTTTAATATTCTGGTTTATTCACTACATCATAGTTGTATATGGTTCATTTTTATGCTGCATTACTAAAAGCACCTATTTGTAAAATATATCACAAAAGCAACTAGATACAACCTTTTCTTCTGCCCTATACTTTTACTCTCTGCAGAATCTCCCATGATCTCCATTAGTGGTTCTGAGTTTTGAATGAACATTAAAATTAACTGGGGATAATGTTTGAGTCCTACCGCAGATTCTGAAGTGATGTAATCGGGCTGGAGTGTAGCCTGGGCAGTGAGAAAGGCAAAGGCACCACAGATGTTAGTGATTGTAGCTCTAGCTGAGCACCATTATTGCCCCTCCTTGTGAGATACCTGTCTGATGTAGACCAGTAATCTTGTCCATGGTCTTTCAGCCTTTCTGGCAGAATCAGTATCAAATTGCTATCAAATTGATGTTTTCACAGAGTTTTCATTAATATCCTGCAATTTCTTAAATTTCTTCTAAATGAAACAATTCCGAAGATACAAAGTAAAAGAAATCTTTTAATATTTAATCAACTCTTTATTGTAGTTCATGTAATTAAAAAATCTAGTTGTATAAAACAGTAGTCCTTTGTCCACAAGAGATATTGTCTAAAACCCTCAAGTGGATGCCTGAAACTACAGATAGTATCAAACCCTATATTAACTAGTTCCCCCCCCCCCCAGGATAAAGTTTAATTTATAAATTGGCCACAGACAGTAACAACTACTAATAAAGTAGAATGATTATAACAGTGTCCTGTAATAAAAGCTATGCGAATTTGGTCTCTCAAAATACCTGATCTTATTGTACAATATTCATGTTTCTGTGGCAAACAAAACCACGATGGACAAGGGAAGACTTTTGTGCAGTTACTGGAAAGTGTGACAGTGTAGCAAATATGATTCAGTCTGTTCTTTGATCAAGAAGTAGCAGCCAAAAGATTCTTTATACCCTCTGCTAAATCTACCTGCTGTTTGTTGGTTTTGTTACTAAAGCATCATGGCATGTTTTATGTCATGGCTTGGAAAGAGATTTGAGTTTATTGGTCTTGAAATTCTACTGTTATTTTCTAAGTTGTCTGAGATGAGAAAAGTTATTTGTGCCGATGGGAAACCTTAAATTCTAATACAATTACTGTAATAGTTTGCTGCTCCCAGATGTCTAGGTCTAGTATTTCTTTGCGGAGCCAGTAATGGGGGGGGGGGGGGCCCAAACGTGTGGGAGGGGGGGGGGGGGGACTCAATCTGATGGTAAACATACATCAGGGAAGGAATTCAGATGGAAATGATGGTATTGTGAAAAAGAGAGGGTGGCTGACAAAATTATTAAAAAGTTTTTTTTCCTTCATCTTTCTTAATTGGATTTGTTTTTTCATCCATTAATAAGAGAATTCATTACATATTAAATGTTTTTTAATTGTAAAAACATTGTTCTGTATAATTGTCTTTTTTGCAGCCTTTATTCAGCTGAAGTGAAGAATAAACTAGAATATTTTTCTTATGTTCTTACAGGCACCAGAAGTGATCAGAATGCAAGATAAAAATCCATATAGCTTTCAGTCGGATGTGTATGCATTTGGGATTGTTTTGTATGAATTGATGACTGGACAGTTACCTTATTCAAATATCAACAACAGGGACCAGGTAAATATTCACCATCTGTTGGGTTTATTTTAATAGCTCTGTAAAGGCTCCAGTCCTAGGAAAAAAGTTTAGAGTCCTGGGTAAGCACGTAGGACAGATCTCTTGATCTTTGTTACCAGTTTTAGAAATCTTTTATACTTTGGGCAGTCATGGCAGTATATTAAGACCTTTCCTTGAAATATCGGTCCTCAGTGCTGCTATGGAGAGAAATTTCTGGCTTTCTGACTAGAAGGTAGAGATGTAGCAATCGCTTACCTTATGTTTCTTGACCATAGCACTATTGGAGGAATGAGTTCTGTGCTACTATGGCATCTGGGCTTTATGTTTTTCATTCTGTCTCAGATAGTGTTATCAGAACAGGTGCTTAGCTAGGAACTTTCTCATATCAAATCTTTTTAAATTACTAAGGTTTCTTTTAAAAATAATTATTATTTAAGTAAGTAAGTAAAAGGAATATTATATCATACTTTGATTTTTCAATAATGAAAATTCTAGGCGGAAAGTATGTTTTTTACTTCTTTCTTTCCTAAGTTCCTGTTCTCTGTCCCCTCTTACCTCCCAAAAGGAAGGAACCCACATAACCTCATGAAGTTCTTTGCTTTCTCTGTTTCCCTCATATTAAATTCTCTTAGACTTCTAAAACTGGCCAATAAAAGTGAACTGTTGTACTAAAACCTTGGATCCCCCAACATTTTTAAAAATGCATGTTTGTCTAGAGAAAGAAAAAGGGAGATTATAACATTTATATTGTTAAAATTAGGAAATGATAGCTAGCATATAAACCATGATTAAAGTATATTTGGACTTTATACTGGTTTACATCAGAATCACCTGAGAAGTCTGTTAAAAAATGGAGATGCTAGAGCAGATTCTGACTGAATGGGGTAGATTCCAAGCACTTGTACTTTTAATGTTTCCCAGGTGATTTTGACACATGCCAAAGTTGATAATCAACAATGCAAAGAGTTAAAGTGTGTGAGGTTTATATGTATGTATTTCATCATAATTTCCCAGCCTAGTGAAATGATAGTTTCTATGTATAAACATGTTGTACCTCATTTAAGTAATATGTGTGTTTTGGTCAGTAGTTCAGTTCCCACTCTTTATCACCAGTGATAGCTCTGTATAGCTCTCTCACTTCAACTATTATGTGATATCATAAGTTATCATATATTTTGTATATACTTAATGGACACCATTTGGCCCTTGTTCACCTGGGTCTTTGTGTTTTGAGGGTTTTTTAAAAAATGATTACATTTCTACCCAATTCATCTTAATCTTTAACCCTGAATGAAACTAATATTCAGGGTGCACTGAAATATTAGCTGAAGAACATAGCTGAAATGTCCCACTTACTGTGCTAGTGACAGACGTAGAGCACTGAGAGGACTGATTGCAGAGGACAGACTGGGTAGCCAAATTGTGTCTGATTTATTTGTAAGTCTCATGAGCTCTTGTCTTTTACAGTCTTATTAATTTGACCTAAAGTGTGCCATGTTCACTATTCCTATGCCTGTTTTTTTTCTGGAGGAATTATTACAGATGTTCAGTTTAGTTTTAGGTGATTTATCAGAGACTACAAATAAAAATTTATGAACCTAAGACCAGAATGATACCCATTTGTCAGTGAATAAGTTTATTTTAATAAAATTATAGTACAGAAACAAGTATAATTATCTCCAAAATATGGATAAAAGCGTCCCAGAGTTCTGCACTCATCCACTTCTTGACATTTTAGGTGCTTTGTCCTCCATGGGAGTATAATAAATGATGGCAAGGGCTTACTCTCCATGAGAGAAGTGAGTGAGTGACCACCAGAAGGGTAAGGCCTTTACTAGTTAATTTTTTCTAGTAGTATAGGTAGCCTTCTGGGATTTGCGAGATCAAGTTCAGCATTCTACTACCCCATTCCACTTCATTACCCTGTAGTCTGCTTTCTTCACTTTCCATGGAACTCCCCATCTTGAAAGGATAACTCTGATCATCCTCAGTGAAGTAACCCCAGATAGTGCATCATTTCCTTGATGTGAATTTTCTTTTGTTTTCTCCTACTTTTATCTCCTTGGCTCTCAGATTAGACTTCTGTTTGGCAATTCAGGAACATTCTTTTTCATGGGAAATGAGACAGCTGCTTTTTTACTGTGCAGTATAGGTACCATTTCTGTATAATACCACCTCTGTAATCCGAAGTGGTAGGTTTCACTGAAAATTCAGAGGAGGACTCTGGGAAAACAGTGTGATGTAACAGAAGGCCTTGGACTCAAGACCTGCATGACTGGTCACTTTGCTTTGTTTGTTGATTTTTAAATAACAAAAGTAAGAGATTGGACAAAGAATTCCTTCCAGTATTAAAAGTCACATACTTTTCTAAAATAGGTCTCTTCAGTCTTTGAGGGATGACCATTCCTGTTACTTTGCCTTTTTTACCTTCTGATATCTGTTTACCTGATTATCAATGTAGTCACACCAGTTTTCTTATTGACTAGTATTTGCGTAGTATGTCGTTTTTCATTATTTTACTTCCAATCTACATTATACTTAAAGCAGGATTTTTGTTACTTTTCATACTAGAAGTCTGAGAAATCACTTTGTTTTTCTTCCACTATCATTTCCTTTCCTCTCATCACTCTACCTTTCCTCTTTTAGTGCAACTTCTCTAAATTGGGATTAATAATGAGCTCACTTAAGTTAGGTGTATTGACAGTGTACCTCATGGCTTTCTTTTCTTGGAGTAGAAGTGCCATGTCTTAGAAGAAAATTATAGATAACATATATCTGTTATTTCAAGTGTATGCCAGTTGTTATTACAGTATAACAAACTACCCAGAATGAAGTGACTTTAAACCAGTTAGGTATCTGTAATGTGGGCTGCTGACTGTGAGGAGAGTATGTATCTGTGTCATATCAACTTGACTGGGTGTTAAAAGGACCCGTGTCCAAAAAAGACTCATTCACATACATGGGAAGTCAACACACTACCTGTTCACTGGAAGCTCAGTCAGGTCCTGGGTTCCTGTCTGCAGGGGCCTTTATATGAGGACCTCTTCCTAGGCCGTTTGGACTTTCTCACACTGTGGGGGCTGAGTTCTAAGCCTAAAATCTCAAGAAACAGAAAATGTGTACCAGTATCTTACCAATAGCTAAACTATTTTAGTAGAAAATGTTTTCAGTACCTACTGTATGTAAAGCCCTGTGGAATATAGGGGGATTTTAAGATGGATAAAACACAGTTTCTCTTCTCATTGGAGTTTACAGTTCCGTTAAGGCAGTGCAGGGGTTGATAATCACAAATGAGAAGTCATGTGCCCCAGTAAAACCAAGCAGTGAATGAAGGGGGGAAGATGCCAGGAGTGCTGATTGGATTGAAAGTAAGATATACCAGAAAAAGAATAGGAACCTACAGTATTACAGGTTGAGAGCATCCTTAATCAAAAATGTTGAAATCCTCAATGTCCTGAAATCTAAAACTCTTTGAACACTGACTTGATGGTACAGTGTAAAATTATACACCTGCCCTCGTGTGGCAGATTGCAATCAAAACTCTGCCATACAAAAATATTATGCAAAATTTCCTTTAGGCTATATGTGTTGGTATGAAACATAAACTAATTTTATGTTTACACTTGATAGATCTGGGTTCCAACCCCAGGATACCTTTTTTCCTTCATGATAGAGTAACATGCACACATGAGAGAGAGAAAGAGAGAAGGAGAAGGAGGAGATGAGATGACTCTCCACAGGGTCTAGTGAAGACCCGAGCCATTTCCTCAGTCCTCCAGCCAGTTGGATCCTGGACTCTCAAGCACTTCAAGTACTCGCACAGCATGTTTCAGGCTGGCCTGGCATGAGATTTGAGTTGTGTGAGATCCAACTTGTCTTGAGCAGTGCAGCACCACTGTGCTTCAGAACTGGTCTCCCAAGATATCTTTTATATATCTTTTACATGCAAATATTCCATTATATCTTAAAGATCTTATATATGCAAATATTCCAATATATGACAAACATTCAAAACACTTCTGGACCCAAGCATTCCAGATAAGGAATGTTCAACTATTTGCCATGTTAATCTTCTGTCCATGAATTATACTCAGGAAAGACTTTCTCCTTCCTACTGTCTCTTCTCAGTCAACCCCTTCATTCCAGCAGATGTTTATTGAGGGTAACTGACTGTGTTCTATGCTGACCAGATCCTACAGGCATGTGAAAATGTGACAGTTATCTTGGATTTTTTTTTCTTAATTCTTCCTGAAAGAATTGTAAAAAAAACTTACATACATTGTACATTTTTTTAAGTAGTATAAAAATTGCTGTCTTGGCCAGACAGTGGCATGATGGTTGACATGACTGGAATCCAGAATCAGGTGGCTTGAGATACGCACCAGATACATGGTATGCATGCCCAAAATATCCCAGGAGGAGAGTGGAGGGGAGAGCATTGTGGCAAGGCCATCCCCCTTACTGGATGATTTCTTACTTTTCCCTCTCTCTGTCTGTCTGGCTTTCTCCAGCAAACAGATGCACCCTATAGCCAAAAAATTAATAAGTTTAAGCAACTATAAAAAGTGTAATTTCTGATGTGTTTTGTTAACTTTCATTTTAGTTTGCTAGAGGACACATGAGCTTGCCAGAGACAGACAGAAAGAGACAAGAGATACTAGGGCTGAAACCACAGTTAGCTATCTTCCCCATGGGGCGATGTCCACATCTCAATTCCTCTTCCCTCATTTCTCTTTCTAGAATTTTGGGCGTGCATAGACATGTGCCAGGCATGTGTTTCAAGCTACCACTCTGAGACTTGAACTATGCCATCACCCATGTAGGATTCAGCCACCTTAACCATCACACCATTAGTTACCATTATTAAATGACGCTACTGTATTCCTCCTTGTAAAGTGTATTCAGTAAAATTTTAAAACTATATTGATAAGAATTCACAAGCTCTTCATTGAGTTTTTGTTTTAAGAATTATTTTATTTAACTTTATTTATTTATCTATCTTTCAGTTTGATCAGAGAGAGAGTGAGAAAGAAAGAGGGAACAAGAGAAAGCAAGCCACCAGGTCCAGGACTTGAACTACAGTCAGCATGTGGGAATCCAGCACCCTTAACCACTAGGCCACCTGCTGGCCCCTTCATTAAATTTTGGAAGTTTTGCAAGATCCTTTTTTCTCTTCAAACCTTTTTTAAAGAATTACTAATTTATTTGAAAAAAAATTTTTTTTTAATTTGCTATAGGGCATGTGAGCTTACTGCAGAAGGCAGGAGAGTTGAGAAAGCAAGCCACCAAGTTCAGGACTCAAACCACAAACTGCGTTTGGCCATGTGGGAGTCCAGCACCTTAACCACCATGCTACTTGTTGGACCCCTTTTCACACTTTTTATATTCTATTTACCCTATAGAATTTGATCCTAATGTATAATAATGTGGTTTTTGTTTTTTGTTTAATTTGCTATAGGGCACTTGTATGCTGCATGCTACTCACTGGAGAAAGAGAGGGAAAGTGAGAAATCACTCTTCAAATGGGGTGGCCATGTGCAATTCCTTATTCATTCTCCTTTTGGGGACTTTTGGACACACACCCAAACTTTCCTGGCATGCCTTTTTTCAGTCACCAGGTCCAGAGCTTGAAACACAGTCAACCATATGGGAGTCCAGTCCCTTAACTACTAGTTTTGAACCTGGTGGCTTAAGAATCACATCAAGCATTTATGTGAGTGCATATCCAAAATCCCAAGAGGAAAATGGAGGAAAAGGGATTGCAATGTGGCCAACTTCCTCAAGGAGATGATTTCTTTTTTTTTTTTTTTTTTTTGAGAGGTTTTTGCTATAGGGCGCATGCGCTCGCCAGACAGACAGAGAGAGACAGAGAGATAGAAAGCAGGAAATCACCCCCCAGGGGGGATGGCCACGCCGCAATCCCTTCTCCTCCATTCTCCTCTCGGGATCTTGGGCACGCACGCACACGCGCCCAGCGTGAGTTTAAGCCACCGGGTCCGGGACTCGAACCGCGGTCGACTACGTGGGAGTCCAGCGACATAGCCATTACGCTAACTGCTGGTCCCAAGGAGATGATTTCTCATTTTTCCTCTCACTATCTCTCTGGTGAGCGCACCTATGGCAAAAACCTTACAAAAATAAATTTTTTTAAATGGTTAAAAGCAGATTTGTACTGAATTGGTCTTCTCCCCCAAATCTTGTTATTTACTTAGCTGGATTATTTTGGACAAGTTATTTCATTCATTGGTGCTTTGAATTTCTCATCTATAAAGTGGGATCAGTACCTGCCTCACAGAATTATTTTGAGCATTAGAGTAGGTGACATTTTAGTGCAACATTTACAACCCAAATGTCCTAATGTTTTTAAGCCTTTCAGGGCTGTCCTTTTCTGTTGATAACAGAGTAACAATACCTGAATTGCTATCCTGTGGGACTTTAGGCAGTCCAGACCCTTTCCCTCAGCTTATGAAGACTGATACCTCCCCCCCCTTCAGAGTACTTACCTGGTTGTTGCTTATCACATGCTGCTAGAAATCTGAGACTGCTGTCTTCCGTTAAAACAGTGAGGAGGCTCTGGCTGTCACATTTGTATAGTCAAATACCCCGTTAGGATTTCCACAACAAAAAGGCTAAAATGCAGGTGCCAAAACAACCACTAAAAAGCCTAATTGTTTTGGTTCCTACTACACATATATCAAGGACTTGCCACATTGTCCAACAAGAAGTGCTCTGTAACTTTTTTTTTCTTTTTTAAATAAAGAGGCAGCACTTTAAGATCGGTGTTTTGCAAGTTATCCTGTCAATGGGAAGTGGATTAAATGAGAGACTAGAAGCACTGAGCAAGTTAGGAGACCTTGGCTGTAATCCTGGGATCACAAAGATTTGAGCTTGCTGTTATTAAATGTGGGTTCCCTGCTGTCTGATGGATAAGAATCTAAGAACTAATTTGATTTTTTAAAAAAACTTCTTATTGAGGTATAATGTGCATGTAGAAAAATACATGTCATAAGTGTACAATTTGTTAGATTTTCAGTGTTCACATATTTTTTCAACTTAAGATTGTAATGATTTGCCCTTTGTTTCTCTCCAGATAATTTTTATGGTGGGACGAGGATACCTATCTCCAGATCTCAGTAAGGTACGGAGTAACTGTCCAAAAGCCATGAAGAGATTAATGGCAGAGTGCCTCAAAAAGAAAAGAGATGAGAGAAAACTCTTTCCTCAAATAAGAAAAAGCTCCATGCTACCTAAAAGAACAGACTAACATTCAGAGGTGGTTTTTGAGCACTCTGGTGGGGTACATAGTTTATATTTACCAAGTTTGTATTCCAAATCATTATGTGCAAACTCCAGATAAGTAAACACATGAAGACAGTTTTAAAAAGGTTGAGCAGTATACCTAGAAATTTGGATCCCATTAAAATCCACCTAGAAATTTGGCATCTTGATACAAAATATTCAGAAAGATTCTACATTTATCCAGCAGCTCTTACTCAGAATTTTTTTTTTTTTTAGAGAGATTTTTGCTATAGGGCATGTGCTTGCCAGAGAAATGGAGAGACAAAAGCAAGAAATCACCCCCCAGGGGGGTGGGCATGTCACAATCCTTTCTCTTCCACTCTTTTCTCAGGATTTTGAGCATGCATGCACACGTGCCCAGCATGAGTTTCAAACCACTGGGCCTGGGACACGAACCATGGTTGGCCATGTGGGAGTCCAGTGACATAGCCATTACACCATCTGCTGGTCCCACTCAACTCTTTTTTACAAATTTATATTGGAGATTTCCCAAAGAATTTATATTTATTTAACAGTTATACTATTAGAAACTGAAAGTATGTCTTCAGCTATTTATGAACTTACTTAAACATAATAGTAAAACTTTTTGGGGGGGAGAGGAGAGGTTTTTTGCTACAGGGCACATGCACTCACCAGAAAGACAGAGACAGAAAGCGAGAATTCAACCCCTAGAGGTGTGGCCACACCACAATTCCTTCTCCTCTCAGGATCTTGGGCATGCCCGCACGCGCACCCGGCGTGAGTTTAAGCCACTGGGTCCGGGAAGCGAACTGCAGTCGACTATGTGAGAGTCCAGCAACATATCCATTACATCAACTGCTGGTTCCATAAAACCAATATTTTAAATAGCATTTAGAAAAAATAGATATTTCAAAACCAGAAAATGAGTGAGAAGCATGGTGTTTTATATATTTTGCAAATCTCTTTGCAAAAAGAAGACAGCTGAAGTCTCTGCTTTTGCATTTATTATGTATCAGTGTATCTCACATCATGTCATCTTTGAAAATTTCACTTACACATACAAAATAATGACAGTAAAAAAAGATAGTATCTGAGACCAGTAGGTGGCATAGTGATTGAGAGCACTGGATTCCCACATGGTCTACCATGGATCAAGTCCTAGACCTAGCAGTTTGCTCTCTCCCTTTCTCTTTCTCTCTCTCTCTCTCTCTCTCTCTCTCTCTCATCAAATTAAAAAGTAATAATAACAAACGGAATTAAATAAATAAATCATTCCTTTTTTTTTTAATACAATATCTAATTGTTAAAATAATTTCGAGGCCGTTAGATGGCGTGATAGTTAAGGACGCTGGACTCCTTTACATGGCCAACCACAGTTCAAGTCCCAGTCCTGGCAGCTTGCTTTCTTATTTTCCTGCTCTTTTTCTCTCTCATTCTGTCCCTCTCTGGTTAAATTGCAATAAATAAACAAATAGTCTGTAATGAGCCTTGCAAAGAACTAAGAATACGCTCCTGAACAAGCAGAGAGCTTACCTAGAGTAGATAATGAAATATAAATGCAGTGATTGCTCATGCTCAGGAAGTTCCTCATGGCACTATATTAATTTAGCCTTCATAAATGAGTATGGTTTCAAGTGGGAAATGATGACTCCCACAGTTAATCTGCTACCTAACTACTCAGTGCTCCTTTGTGAACCCCTGTGCCTTTGAATGCCCAGTCCTAGCTGGGTTTTAGAGATAGAAGTCAAGTTCACTCATCCTTTATATATCAATATTATCTAAAAAATTTGTTTTTAGAGACCAGCAGGTAGTGTAATGGCTACATCACTGGACTCCCATGTAGTTGACCACAGTTCCCAGACCTAGCGGCTTAAACTCACACTGGGTGTCTGTGCATGGGTGCCTAAGATCCTGGGAGGAGAATGGAGGAGAAGGGATTGCAGAGTGGCCATCTTCCTGGGGGGTGATTTCTTACTTTTTTTCTCTCTGTCTGTCTCTTGTCTTTCCAGCGAGCGCATGTGCCCTATGGTAAAAACCTCTCTTAAAAAATTTTTAATTTTTGTTTAAAGATTTAAAGAATAAGATTGATGGGGTTTTTTGTTTCTTTGTTTCTTTGTTTGCTTTGGAGAGTTTAAGCCACCAGGTCCGGGACTTCAACTGCAGTTTACTACATGGGAGTCCAGTGACGTAGCCATTACACCATCTGCTGGTCCCAGAATTGATGATTTTAACAAGTCTTTCAAGGGCTGCCTCAGAGAGGAAAATGGAGGCTAAGTGTTTGGGTGGGTTACATACAAGTTTTACATACTGAGGTTTTTAAGTTACCGTTCCTTTAAGGAAAAATTTTGTTTTTAACTCAGAAAGCCTCTGGTTTGAAACTATCAAAATTTCTTGTATTATTATTATTTTTTTTTTTTTAGAGGTTTTTGCTATCAGGCATGTGTGCTCGGCAGAAAGACAGAGACAGAAAGCGAAAAATCACCCCCAGGGTAGATGGCCATGCTGCAATCCCTTCTCCTCTCAGGATCTTGAGCATGCATGTACATGCGCCTGGCCTGAGTTTAAGCCACTGGGTCTGGGTCTTGAACCACGGTCAGCTACATGGTAGTCCAGCGACATAGCCATTACTCCAATGGCTGGTCCCAAGACTATCAAAGTTTTAAGACCAATATTGTTTACCAGTGTCACCTGAATGTGTGCTATATTCTCTTCAAATTCAGGTACTAGGATTTCTTATTTAACATAGTTGATTTACCTTAATAATACAGGGGTTTTTGTTGTTGTGGCGGGTTTTCTTTTTTTTTTAGAGAGAGAGAGAGATTTTTGCTATAGAGCACATGAACTCTCCAGAGACAGACAGAGACAAAGCGACAGAAAGTGAGAAATCATCCCCCAGGGGGATGGCCACCCCACAATGCCTTCTCTTCCATTCTCTTCTCAGGATTTTGGGCTCACACGCACCACACTTCCGGTGTGAGATTAAACTACCAGGTCCAGAACTTGAACCTCAGTTGATCACGTGGGAGTCCGGCGATGTAGCCTTTATGCCATCTGCTATTCCCAGACCCACTTTTAAAATGATATTTAAAGAAAAGCAAAATGCTCATACTTCTAAATACAACATTTCATTCATTGCATCATATTTAAAAAACGAAATGCTTATATGAATTTTCCAGATTATTGGAGGCTCTTTTAAAATATTAGTTTTACCTATTCATTTATTTTTATTATATATATTTTTTGAGATTTTTGCTATGGGAGCCAGCAAGTGGCGTAGTGGTTTAGGCACTGGACTCCCACATGGCTAACCACAGTTTGAGTCTTGGACCTAGCAGTTTCTTTTCTCAATTTCCCTCTCTCTCTTTCTGTTTCTCTCTGTTCAACTGAAATAATAATGATGATTATGATGAATAAAATTAAATAAAATGATTTTTAAAAAAGAAAAGAGATTTTTGCTATAGGGTGTATGCGCTTGCCAGAGAGACAGAGAGAGACAAAGTGGGAAATCACCTCCCAGGGAGGATGGCCATGCCACACAGTCCCTTCTCCATTTTCCTCTTGGGATTTTGGGCACACGCACAAACTGCGTGGTGTGAGTTTTAAGCTGCCAGGTCTGGGACTCAAACCGTGGTCGACTGTGTGGGAGTCCAGTGATGTAACTATTATGGCATCTGCTTTTTACCTTTATATAACGGTATCGTTTCACAGCATACAGTTATGTGCCACATAAACTGCTAATGACTAGAGATCTATATATATTTTTTAAATCCCCACAATTATTAAATATAAAACTTATTTTTTTAAAGAGAGAAAGATTTTCACTATAGGGCATGGGCTCACAAAAGAGACAGAGAGGGACACCAGCAGTTAGCATAATGACTATGTCGCTGGACTCCCACATCGTCGACCACAGTTCGAGTCCTGGACCTGGTGGCTTAAACTCACACCGGGCACATGTGCATGTGTACCCAAGGACCTGAGAGGAGAAAGGAGAAGGGATTGCGGCGTGGCCATCACCCCTGGGGGGGTGATTTCTCACTTCCCGTCTCTCTATCTCTCTCTGTTTTTCTGGTGAGCTCACATGCCCTATAGCAAAAACCTCTCCAAAAAAAAGAGAGATGGGGCCAGCAGGTGGCATGATGGTTAAAGGTGCTGGATTCCCACATGGCTGACAACAGTTCGAGTCCTGGACCTGGTGGCTTGTTTTCTCCCTCTCCCTTTCTCTCTCTCTCTGGTCAAATTAAAAAAATAATAATAACAAATGGAAATAAATAAATAATTCTTTTTAAAACAAAAGAGAGACAGAAAGCAAGAAATCAACCCCCAATGGGGATGGCTACACCGCAATTCCTTTTCCTCCATTCTCCTCTTAGGACCTCAGGCACATACCCACATACGCCTAGTGTGAGTTTTTTAGCCTCTAAGTCTGGGACTCAAACTGCAGTTGACTATGTGGGAGTCCAGTGACATAACCATTACACCATCTGCTGGTCCCTAAAATCATTTTTATAATCTTGAGGTAGGAAAGGCTTTCCTAAGCAAGAAGCAAAAGCCAGGAGCTAGATGGTGGCACAGCCATAAAATGCAGTATTCCATGAGGCCGACACACATGGGAGGGTTCCAGATTCATTTCCGTAGACCTCCTGAGTATACCAACACATGCATGCTGGGGATTTGGGGCTGGCTGGGAGTACATTTTGGCATCAAGACCCTGTTGGGGTTCATCTGGTGGCATGGTGGTTAAGCCACTTGGATCCTATATGGCCAACTGCGCAGTTCAAACCCCAGACCTGGGGCCTGGAGAAACACACAAGACACATGTGCATACATGCTCAGGATTCTGAAAGGAGGGTATCTCTGTTTCTCTGTCTGTCTCTGGGCCAAGCTCATGTGTCCTCTGGCAAATTAAAAAACAAAACAAAACAAAAAAACCCTGTTGGGAGTACTATCCATCCATGTCTATCTTTTACGCAAGGAAGAAATAATTTTTTTAAAAAGAAGGCAGAAATGATCTAGAAGTTATAAAGGAATAGATTAGCAGATGTGACTACATTAACTTTTTAGTTTTCTCTATAGAGTGCATGGAGAGAGAGAGATGGGGTTTGGGGAGTGAGAGATCACCCCTTAAGGGGGAATGGCCACATTGCAGTTCTGTCTCCCTTCTCCTCTTGGGATTTTGAGCCCCCACACACATGCACTTGACTTTTTTTCAAGTTTCTGGGTCCTGAACTTGAACTGCACCATTAGCCAGGTGAGAGCCAGCTGTTGTAACGTCTACGCCATCTGCTGGCCCTACATTAAAAATTTTTTAACATATATAGTAAAAATAATATTGAAAGATAAAGAGAAAAGCAATTGTATATAACAGAGAGTAAATATTTGCAATATGCAAAGGACCCCTACAAATCAAGTAAAGAAAACAAATAGAGGGCCAGTAGGCGGTGTGACGGAGATGCTAGACTTCCATGTGGCTGACTACGGTTTGAGTCCTGCACCTATACTTTCTCATTTTTTTCTCTCTTGTCTGTCTCTGGTGAGTGCATGTGCCCTATAGCAGATTTAAAAATAATAATAATAAAATGAAATAATTATTTAAAAAAGGAAAAAGAAAAAGCAGTAAAAAATAGACAAAGGAGAGCCAGCAGGTAGCATGGTGATTAGGGTGGCTGGATCCCACATGGCCAACCATGGTTTGAGTCCTAGACCTGGCAGCTTGAAAATCACTACAAAGAAATAGATAAACAAATCAACAAATGTTAAAGAAAGAAAAATAAAGAGAAAAGTAATTGTATTATATGTGACAAAGACTAAATATTTGTAGCATGCAAAGGACCCCTACAAATTAAGTAAAGAAAACCAATAGAGGGTCAGCAGGTGGTGTAGTGATAGATTTGAGTCCTGAACCTAGTGGCTTGCTTTCTCACTTCCCCCATCCATGTCTCTCTTTCTCTCTCTGGGGAGCACATGTGCCCTATAGCAAATGAAATAATAATATTAAATATATTTTTAAAAGGAAATAAAACGGTAGAAAATGGACAAAAGAGGGCTAGCAGGTGAGGTAGTGGTTAGGGCTGATTGTGTAGTCCACATGGCCTACTGTGTGGCTTGAATCCTGGACCTGTCTGCTTGAAATAGCAGATTTAAAAATAATAATAATAAAATGAAATAATTATTTAAAAAAGGAAAAAGAAAAAGCAGTAAAAAATAGACAAAGGAGAGCCAGCAGGTAGCATGGTGATTAGGGTGGCTGGATCCCACATGGCCAACCATGGTTTGAGTCCTAGACCTGGCAGCTTGAAAATCACTACAAAGAAATAGATAAACAAATCAACAAATGTTAAAGAAAGAAAAATAAAGAGAAAAGTAATTGTATTATATGTGACAAAGACTAAATATTTGTAGCATGCAAAGGACCCCTACAAATTAAGTAAAGAAAACCAATAGAGGGTCAGCAGGTGGTGTAGTGATAGATTTGAGTCCTGAACCTAGTGGCTTGCTTTCTCACTTCCCCCATCCATGTCTCTCTTTCTCTCTCTGGGGAGCACATGTGCCCTATAGCAAATGAAATAATAATATTAAATATATTTTTAAAAGGAAATAAAACGGTAGAAAATGGACAAAAGAGGGCTAGCAGGTGAGGTAGTGGTTAGGGCTGATTGTGTAGTCCACATGGCCTACTGTGTGGCTTGAATCCTGGACCTGTCTGCTTGAAAAACACCCTGGGCCTGGGTGCGTGTGTGGCCCAAGTCTCAAGAGGAAAATGGAAGAGAGGGATGGTGGCATGGCCATCCTCCCATGGGGATGATTTCCCACTTCCTACTCTCTCTCTACCTCTATCTCTATCTCTCTCTCTCACTCTCACTCTCAAGTGTCCGTAGCCAAAAAAAAAAAAAGACACAGGATATATGTACAGGTGGTTTACAAAAGACAGAAAGAGCCAATGTCCTTAGAAAAAGGTTTAAGATCTTAACAGCAATTACTAAAAAGGCACACAGCAATGAAATATGTTTCAATTTTGCCCCTCAGATTTGCAATATCCAGGAACAATGTTTGAAAGTAGGAAAGAACTTTTTTTCATAATTTTTAATATTATTGATGGAAATGGAAATTATTCTGGTTTTTGGAAGGACTTAGCAGAATCCATAAATATAAAATACCAAAAATCTATGCTATAGAAGCTATTTCCATAAGTATATATGCAAGAATAATGCAAGAATGTTGACTACAGTGGGAAAAATTAAAACCTATGCTATGCAAGAATAAATGCAAGAATGTTGATTGACTACAATGGGAAAAATTAAAGATATAAAGACTAAGGAATTTCTGCATAAATGACTTGAATATTGGTGAGGTAAAAGACAACAATAAAGGAAAGTATGTGTAGTGTGATACCACTTAAAGGTGGTGAGTGAGGGTGGGCTCTAGTGGGTTTTTTATTATTTTTTAGCACCACAGTCTCTACTCATTCTCTTAGGATTTGGGGCACACATGCCTGGCATGCTTCTTAACCTGCCAGGTCCAGGACTCAAACCTCATAGTCAGCCAGGTAGGATCCCACCACCATAACCACCATGCTATCTGCTGGCCCTGGGCTGTTTTCATGTGTGGTATGTTTATGCATTGGAAAAGTCCAGAAGACAGTACACTCTTGAAAGTGGTTACCCTGGAGGGTGGAATCTAAGAGCCTTATATTGCTTATTTTATATGTTTCTGTATTCTTTGAATTTTTATTTGCATGTTATGTTTGGAATTTAAAAATTTTGGTAACATTGTTTCTTTGCCTTATATTAATAATTATAAAGATCACAGTTGAACTTTTTAAGAAGTTCTGATAGCCCAGCACAATAAGAAAAGTAACAATAATGTCTGCTAAAGTTTTACGGATTACTTACTACATGTACCAGATATCATGCCTGGCCCTTTAAACTTCAGTCTCTTATTTATGAACTTGCATTATCGTGCTTTATGCTTTCAAAGGTCATAACCTGCTTCCTTGTACCTTAAAACATGAAAATCTCTACATTATATGTATTGGCATCTATTTGTACAGTTTCCCTGTCCTTTTCACTCTTGGTCACTTCTCACTCTTGTGCCACTAGCAGTTTGGTTATTAGAGTCCTACTTTTAATTCAGCATATTTAAGACATTTCCCATTGCTAAGTTCCTTTTAAAGACAGATTGCTGCGATGATTCCGTTCAGAACTAATCTTCCAGTGCTTTGCTTACTTATACTCTTTTAGAATATTCTTCTGTGGTCTATGACAAATAGTTATATAACTGGTTTCAAATTTTTATTATTTACTGTTCCAATGCTGGCAAATGATCTCAATGTAGATTAAAGCTTAATTAACTATGACTTACTTTTCCCATTCAGTATACAGAGATAAGAGCTGTCATAGTTTGTTAGTTTTATTTTCTTTTTAAAGAAAAATACCAGTTTCTTTCCATGTTTTTCCAGGCATTTATGATAATATTGAAAACAATGTAAGATTTTAGGTATTTTCTTATAAAGTATGATGAGGCTCTTAAAGATTTACACCACCCAGATTTTCATTCTTCTTTCTTTTTTTTTTTTTTTTTTGTTTTTTCTTTCTTTTTTTTTTTTTTTTTTTTTTTTTTTTTTTTTTTTCTTTTTCTTTTTTTTTTTTTTTTTTGTTTTTGTAGATTCTCGCCTCTATTGAGCTGCTGGCCCGCTCATTGCCAAAAATTCACCGCAGTGCATCAGAACCCTCCTTGAATCGGGCTGGTTTCCAAACAGAGGATTTTAGTCTATATGCTTGTGCTTCTCCAAAAACACCCATCCAGGCAGGGGGATATGGTGCGTTTCCTGTCCACTGAAACAAATGAGTGAGAGAGCATAGAAGGATAGCAACAAAAGGAACATAAATGAACCTGTTTGCTTATGTGGTACATTGACTAGGGTATTCTTTTTTTGTTGTTAAAGGTGAACCAAAGAACATTCATGTGTTTAAAGACTAGACATAAGTTTTTCCCAATCTAAAATTAATACTTGACAAATTCAACATTGAATTTTCCACATTCAACGGTTAACATTACATAGTTGTTGGCAAAAACTGGCAGTGCCTCTTCCACAGGTTTTATTTCCTGTCCAAGTTTGTTTCATTTAATTGGTTATTCTAATGATTAAACTCAGTTTTCTCTTTCAGTTTTCTCCTGCAACTTTTGTTATTGGTTATCTCAAGTTTCTTAGGGACCCCAGCAGGTTTTTGCATGTGGAAAGATGACAGTAGGTTAACCTGTGTTAGAAAAGGCAAACCAAACATTTAATTTAGGAAGTGAAACTGAATAATCCTATTTTTAGCTTTAAAATTTTTTCTATAAATATTTCATTTTATTACACTTTGGAAGTTTTTAATATTCTTTACTTCCTTGAAGCAACGGTCTAAATTTCTTTTTTAAAATTTTGGGTGCAAATAACCAAAGGATACTACTGAGGAGTGACATTTTTGACATGAGTAAATGGTTTAACTTTGGATTTTCAGTGGGAAATGTCATAATTGGAATTCTTTTTAATTATTTCTTTTACATATTAGGAATGTCTTACATGTGTAGAGGTCAGGTTTTCTTTTAAATACATTGTTCCCTTAGCCCCGCCCTCCCCTAAAAAGAAAAAAAGTCTGTACAGAATTCTTTGAGAATTTTTAGATTCGTTTGTTTTTTTCTTTTAGATAACTCTTGTTGCCAAACAGCTAGGTACTGGATTTTTTTAAAGTTGTTATTAGTTTAGCTTATACTTACCATTTGTGATGCATATTTTAGCAGTCATACTTTATCACTGTGGCTCATAAAATTTCTGTCCTTAAACTTTTTGCCCAAAGTACTCCTTAGGATAAATGAATGCTCTTCTTGTTTTTGCACTCCACAATGTGAGGTATCATTAGCACACTCTGATGCCAACACTTCCTTATGTAGAAAGTTACTAATGCGACAGTCTGTATATTCTTAGAATAATTCAGAGAACCCAAAGTGAAGGGGCTGTCAAAAATATGGCCCTCTCTACTTTATAGTTGACCTAGGGAGCAATACCAGCCTCTTTCTACCTCATTTACTCCGTTTGGATTTGTGATGATTTGTACATACAGCCAGCAATTCAAGGTTCTTCCAACAGACAGACAACATCTGCATAAATGCCATCCTTCTTTGAAGTCAGTAATGAAGAAAATCGGAAAGACTTTAGTTTTTAAGTACAACAAATAAATTTTTGAAAAATTTTCTTTATTTGAATACAGTCATGCATTGCTTAATGACAGGAATGTGTTCTGAGAAATGCGTCAATTAGGCGATTTTGTCATTACGTGAATATCATAGAGCCCACTTACACAAACCTAGGTAGCAGGCAACCAAAGATACTATCTTAGAGCCAACTTTATACTTAGACTGTGTGTCATAATCTTATGGGACCACTATCATAGGTTTCAGCCAGGGAAACTACTCATGGTAATTGTGGCATACCTTTCCCTTCATGTGGGTAGCTTAAGATAAATAGCACTATCATGATTTTAGAAATTGATTTGTGACTTTCAGTTTAAGAAAGATAGTGAAAAAGGATATTTCTTGTATTTTATAAATTGAGAATAAGAAAGAAATAAAAGAGCATAACAGATTGGAAACATTAAAGTGTGTGATTTCTAAATCCTCTAGTCATGTTAAAGATTTAACTATTATAATCTTCAGATAGGGTTTTATTCTTCACAATAGAATAGCATGCATGTAGCTAACAGATTTTAGGAAATTGATTTGGCCTATGGATGCACAAAAAGCTTGGACATTTTGAGGCACAAGAATAAAAGAATCCTTTAATTGATGGGACTCTTCTGTAATTTCTTAGTACACTTGCCTCATTTTTCTTTTTCTTTCTTTTTTTTACATTTGCCACAGGGTATGTGCCCTCACCAGAGACAGAGAGGAAGAGGGAGAAAGCACCCCTCAATAGGACGTGGGCATGCACGCACACATACCCAGCATGATTTTCAAGCTGTAGGGGTTGGCATTCCATGGGGCAGGTGCCATCACACCCAGTGGAAGCTGGGATTCAAACAGCACAGTTGACCAAATGGAATCCAGCACCCTTAACTACTAGGCCACAGGCCAGTCCCCGCCTCTTTTTTTTATTTGTTTGTTTGTTTGAGAGGTTTTTGCTTATAGGGCGCGTGCGCTTGCCAGAGACAGAAAGCGAGAAATCACCCCCCAGGGGGGAGGGCCACGCCGCAATCCCTTCTCCTCTCAGGATCTTGGGCACGCATGCACACACGCCTGGTGTAAGTCACCAGGTCCAGTACTTGAACTGTAGCTGACTATGTGGGAGTTTAGTGACATAGCCATTATGCTAACTGCTGGTCCCCACCCTGCCTCACTTTTAATCTTCCTTTCATTGTTCATTCTTTTTCCCCAAACATTGCCTTACCTAGTACCCAATCATCTGCATTTGATTCCATTTCTTTCTGTCCTTACCAGCCTCCTTTGCTAAGGCATCACTAAGCTCTGTAGAGCTGCTCAGAAACTCCTCTAGACATTCATTTCTCTTAAGGATTGTATAGTAGTAATTCCACTCTCCCTTCTAAATTGGGCCAGCTGGAAATGTTAGTGGAAGGACATTGAAAACATGGCAGGTGAGATATTTAGATAATGTGAATCTGGAGATATAGGAAGCTTTAGAATAGATCATTTTCTATTTTCAGTTGTTGTTGTTGTTACTGTGTTTTTTGTTTATACAAAGTTTTAGGTATATTCTCCAAATAAAGAAAAACTTGTTTTTTCCTGACCATATATAGAGTTAATCATTTTGACTAGGTAAAAACCTGAACCTTTGTATATAATTTTTTATTGCAGTTTATTTCCTTTTTATAAAATCTGTCTTAGAAGTTTTACTAGTTAGCGATAAAGAGTTAGATATTTCATCTGGATTTTAAATAATTTAGGGATCATAGAATTTAATCAAATGCTTTGGGTTTATTTTCAGTTATTTATACTAGCCATTTAAATACCAAACCAGTAGTTAGAACTGTATTATTTTTTTATTTTTATTTATTTATTTATTTATTTGGAGAGGTTTTTGCTATAGGGCGCGTGCGCTCGCCAGACAGACAGAGAGAGACAGAGAGACAGAAAGCGAGAAATCACCCCCCGGTGGGGAGATGGCCATGCTGTAGTCCCTTCTCCTTCATTCTCCTCTCAGGATCTTGGGCACGCATGCACACACACATGCCTGGCGTGAGTTTTAAGCCTCCAGGTCCGGGACTCGAACCGCGGTTCAACTACATGGGAGTCCAGCAACATAGCCATTACGTTAACTGCTGGTCCCTCTTTATTGTTTTTTTTTGTTTGTTTGTTTAGTTTTTTGCCATAGAGAAAGAGTGCTCACCAGAAAGAGACAGAGAAAGAGAGAGACTGAGAAATCACACCCTATGGGGATGGCCACACCCCAGTCCCTTCTGATCTGTTTCCCTCTCTTGGGATTATATATACACACACACACAGCCTGTTTTTCAAGCTGCTGGATCCAGGACTCAAACTGCGAAGTGGGCCATGTGGGGTACATCCATCCCAACCACCACCTCACCAGCTAGCCCCAAAACCATCCTTTTTTAAAAAGTGGCTATTTATACACTAGCTTAAATGGTTTTTTTCCTCTCAATTTAAGGAAATTATCTTTATGAGATGGATTATTTCATGACTGAACATTTCATCAGCTGTAGTCTTATTTGATTGAGTATTATTTAATTATTGAAGCACTCATTACTAAATATTTCATCTGTCTTGTTAATATTTCTGTAAGAATTTAAAATCCCAGTTTATGCTAGAATGTTTTTCATCCTTTTCAAGCTGCCTGAGAGACCATCAAGAGGAAAGGCAGAATGGGACTTAGTCTGGTTTTCAGTTGATTTTCCCCTTACATTAAAAGCAGTGATGGGAGACAGCAGGCGACATAGTGGTTAAGGCATTGGACTCCTGCATGTCTGACCATGGTTCAATTCCTAGACTTTACAGCTTGCTTTCTCATCTTTCTCTTCCTCTCTCATGCACAGATCCTCTGTAGCAAATTTTAAAAACATAATAATGATAAATAAAACTATATAATTCTCTTTTTTAAAAAAAAGAAAACAGCGATAGAAGTTGGTAGGTAGTGTGGTGGTTAAGACACTGAACTCCCCACAAGTCTGAGTGGGAGTTCAGTGGTTTGAGTCCTGGGTCTGGTGGCTTGCTTTCTCACTTTCCCTCACTCTCTT